ATGTGAATGGGGATATCAAAAGATTTATTCGTTGATCTCACTTAGGCAACTTGGACCTACCACTTCACTGACTCGGCGCAAACCAAAAACCGGCAATGCAATTCTGCGCTAAAAGAACATTCGAAAACAACGACAATAAAACGAATACGAGATTCTTACTTGGAAATCGAAGTAGTGAAAAAGAGTTCATAAAAAAGATTTATATCCATGAAACATTCCCGTTCTAATGAGCCTTGGAGAACAGTACGCCTATTGAGATCTGCTGTCGAGACGTCTATGAACAAAAGTGAAAGTCAGGACTATACTAGGTTCTCCTTATGCAAAGAGAGTAGGGCATAGAGACAGCTTTGAGACAGCACAAGACACACTCGAGAGTGGACATAAAAGATGGGGAAAGATGAAAATGAAGCCCTGAAGTAGATGAAGTCGCCAAGAACGTTGGCGGCAGCCAAACTTCAAGGCACACCAAGACAGTGCAGTGGCTTGACTATTCATTTCATAAGAAAAGGCGGAATTCATAAAATGGTCCCACCGGAAATCGAAGCGGGACTGCGCTGGAATGAAGTGAAGATTGTTGGATTTCAAAATCCTCTTTCGGTTTCTAGTGGGAACAATTCCTGACTTGCTTCCAGCCAACTTTTTCTCCGAACTGAAAAGTCATGTCGCAATATATCATTAAGGAAATCTTCGAAACCCAGTTTTGCTTCACATATACATGTTTGCGATGGCAAAGATGGTGCAATTACCGAATGGAGTTCTTGTCGATGGCCGAAGAGATCATGTCAAACACGACCTCGGTGATCTCGTTTGCGGTGAACCTCGGCTTAACGTGGCGACAGACGAGCGCCCTGTCCATGTACACGGTCAGGTTGCACATGGCACACTCGGGCATGGCGAACACCTGACGCGAGTTGGCGATTCCTGTGGGCGCGGAGTTGCCCCGACTGCCGCCACGCGACGCCTGTTGCCGTGGCTGCACCGAGCCCGAGGGGGGCGGAGGCGGAGACTGCTGTTGCTGTTGCTGTGGCTGCGGCTGCGGCGCCGGCTGCTGATAGGCCGACTGGCCTGCCGTGCCACCGCCGGCCATGCCGGACGGCGGAG